GCCCCCATCACAGGCAGCTCTTTGCGTGTTATCTCCTTGCCACCCACCCAAGAAAAGACCCATATTGTCTCCAAGGCCGAAAAGAAGGCAGCTATGTCACTTGAGCATGGTTGTTTTATCTGGAAAAGGGGCTGAGTGGCTTTGAGAGCCTGTTTCTATCCGGCTCCACGTGCCGGGGCAGGGGGGGACTTGGGGGTCCTCAAAAAGGTGCAAAATTGCAGCTGCACAATTAAATACCAGGGTGTGTCCCGGCCTCCGCGGTCCCCAGGGCAGCACGGCCCTAACGAGGAGACAGTGGCATTACTAATCAGGGCTTTGACCTTTACATGGCTTTTATTTAATACACATTCCACACTTCCCCAAACTCCCATCCAAAACATTGACATTTCCGCTGATAGATTGGGTCAGATTTTGGAGTAGTTGGGGGACTCAATTCACTCTTACAATGGTTAAATTCTTACAGCTAAATGGGCTTATTCAGTTAGTGCAGCAGCTGGTGTGATTTCGAGAAGAAAATAAACATTTCCTTCAAATATTTTGATTGGCAACTGGACAACTGAAATACTCAAGCTCAGATTGCCAGGGTCCAAAAAAGCAAATGGGGGCTGGCCGGCGAGGGAGGGAGGCAAGCCGTAGTAAATCCTCCCAGGCAGGGCTTCCAGGCAGACGTGTGTGTGAGATGCGCTGGGGACAGTGAGCTGTGATTTTATTTTATTGTATTTTATTTTATTTTTTCAAGCCCGTTATGGGCTGCAATTTCCGAGGGAACGCGGGGACCGAGGGTACGGCTTCGCCCCCTCCTATTTTCCCTGGCGTTTGCTTAGCACGCTGCCTGCTCCGGGTTGCCGTTTGATGGCTGGCTGAGCGTGACGGAGGGTAGCTTTGCTGCCGAGTTAGGTGGTTATGGAGGGTATTAATGGCAGTGTTTTATTTGGACCTTGCTGGGGCTGTTTCAGCAGGGATCTTCCTCGGACGCAGGGCGAGGGGGATGATGGCCCCGGCTGGCAATGGTGGGCATGGGGCTGTGTGGCTGTAACCCCACGCAGGTTCGTGAGGTGGAGGAGAAGCCCTGGGAGGCGAATGGAAGGGCGGCTGTGGGGTGAAGAAGGGATGGAGGGGCAGCTGTGGGGTGAAGAAGGGATGGAGGGGCAGCCCTGAGGTGAAGGAACTGAAGTGGAGGGACAGCCCTGAGGTGAAGGGATGGAGGGGCAGCCATGAGGTGAAGGAGACAGGGTGGAGGGACAGCCCTGAGGTGAGGACTGAGGTGGTGGGCAGCCGTGAGGTGAAGGAGATGGGATGGAGGGGCTGCCCTGAGGCGAGGACACTGTGATGGAGGGGCAGCCCTGAGGTGAAGGAGTTGAGATGGAGGGGCTGCCCTTAAGCGATGACACTGTGATGGAGGGGCAGCCCTGAGGCGAGGGCACTGAGATGGCGGGGCAGAGGTGAAGGAGACAGGATGGAGGGGCAGCCCTG